TGAGATTCTGTGTTCGGTGAGGCAGTTCTTTAGAAGAAATTATGCTTTTTTGATACCAAGACCTTGGAGAAATGTCTCTCAGAAGTCCTCATAGAGAGGACTGAATAGTTCCTTGGAATTCTCTGCTTCTGTTTCTCTCTGCAGAGATAGAAGGCTCTTCTAGTTTTGCATTTCCTGCTGTTATCAGGAGAGAAGGGACCGTGAAACTTCAGGGTAGATAGAAAAGTCTTCCTCTTGCAGTGCACCTGCTTGTTTAATATTGAGTGAAGTACTTAAAAAAAATCCATCCTTCCTTGCCGCACTATAATCCACTGTCAAGTGGATGTCTGCTGCCAACCCTTCTTGCTGTCCTGACTGGTTGCCTGCTACGGTCCGTTGCTGAGGTCACTGCGGCTCTTGACTGGCTCATGGGAATGTGGCTGGAACAACCTGTTTCCCTTTAAAATGCTTGAAATATCTCAACCAGAGTTTGTTTCATTCGGGGTACTTGCTTATGCCCCACTTATTTTACTTGCTTAACTGTTTCATTAGAGATTCTGACTATATCTAAGCAAATTCTTTAACATGCCAGTGATCACAAACAGGAGAAGACAGAAATGTTTTTACAGCCAATTGAGCTGAATTGCATGGAGTTCAGTTTAAAAGAATTTAACTGAACTAACCAATGTTGTCATCACTAATCAAAGCATTAACCTTTGATTGCAATTCAGCCATTCTGCCAACATTTCAGGAGAGGAGGTACTAACATAGGACTCACGTTGGCCCCCATCTACCTTGCATGGTTATCTGCAGGAAATACAGTTGGTAGAGAACATAGTGTGTGCAATAGTGTGGCCTTAGAAAGGACTGCACTTAAACAAATGCCTTACTCTTTGGCATTCTGCACATTGTCATTATCAGCATCTGCCTACTGAAATGCTGAGCTAATGCTGATACGGGCTTTGGAGTACTGATTTGCTGCTCAGAACTGTTATCCAGTGAATCCAGTTCCAGACCTCCAGTGGGAGGCCTGCAGAATGCCAACGGAACATGCATTCCAGATACAGTCAGCTTTTTACTCACTGGCTCTTAAGATTAATGAATTCAGGCCTCTTGTGTGCTATCTGCTTGACACCCTGGTTCACATGGTCAGGATGTAATGAGGCCTGGGGACTGCATACATTGTAAAAATGTTTTATTTTATTAGAATAATAACCTGGAAAGAGCACTGGATTGGATCTTTAGTCACCCTGAGTTTGAGGAGGACAGTGACTTTGTGATCGAGATGGAGAATAACGCCAATGCAAACATAATTTCTGAGGCCAAGCCTGAAGGACCTAGAGTCAAGGATGGATCTGGAAGTAAGTTCTTGCCTTAGGGATTGTCTGAGCAATCTAACTACACATTCAGCTCATGCCCTTCCCTCCCACCACTCATATCAAAACCTTTGCCATCATTCGAAAGTTAGCATAGATCCCATCTTCTCAAAAATGGTGCATTTTGCCACTCTGTGTGGCCACAGGGATGTGATAAAGCCTTGGACAAACTCTGGGTCATGTTTCCTACTGGTGTGCATGCTTAAGTTTAGTGCCAGCTTTGACTTTGTCCTTTGAGATAAAAACTTCTCATGGACCATGGAAGGTTTTATTTAAAAGAGAGCATTTATTTTCATGGTGGTATTTTTTGAACAGTTGAAAAGTAGTATGCTGATAATTTTCTGAAGGGCTGGCAGAATGGCAGGAATAGGTGCAATAGACCAATATTCTACCTTTTATTGACAAGCACTTATATATGTCACCAGTGTGTGCCAGGTTTTATTCTAAGAATTTTGCATACAAACACTCCTTTAATCTTAAATGCACCCATTTTACAGGTAAGAAAACAGAGGCACAGAAAGGTTAGATAACTTGCCCAACGTCACACATCTTTTTAAGAAGTGAAAACAAGATTCAAACCCAGAATCCTTTCTACACCATTGTGATACCCTGCTTCTCAGGCTGAAATTGCCTTCAGAATAATGGTGCAGGCTCTTTTGCCTGGCACTCAGCACCTCCTCCAGTCAGATCCCAGCCTACCTTGTCTCTCAGAGTTATTTCTTCTGCACCCCCTTTACCTGCAGCTGAGACACCTGGTACTACAGCTGCGCTATTAGCCTCCTCAGCTGTCATCAACCCTCTTCTTGCTACTTGCAGGCCTTTGCTTAAGTTGATCCTTAATTGTGAAATGCCCTTTTCTCCTATCACTGCACACTAAAATCCTTACTGTTGTTCAGAGCTTAGCCACAGATTCCATTCCTCTCAACTGCTTTCTGAGGTCCTTGTCATAATCAGTCCACCCTTAGCTCATATGCTAGTAATAATTATACAAATATTAACAATACTTTCATTTGTGCCACATTTATTCCTCATAACAACCCTACAAAGTAGGTACCATCATCTCCATGTTACGGGGGAAGAACTGAGGTAGAGAAAGTAAACTAACTTGCCAAGATGACAGAGCTAGTGATGGGCAGAACCAGAGTCCAACCCAGAAGTCTGCCCCCAGAGCCTGTGCCCATAGTCACTGTAATATAGTGTCTGTTCTTATTACCAAGTTCATCTTGCAATATAATTTTGCATTTGAATATTTGTCTTTCCCATTTGACTGGGAGTTGGTGGAGTACAGAGGCCATATTTCTTTTATAGAGTTTATGGTGTCTGGAACACAGAAAGTACCTAGTAAAAAATAACTGGATTCAATTTAATGTATATTAGCAGCATTTACTCCTATAACCATATAGCTGTAGCTCCTCATTAATGGTCTTACTCAACCTAACGTGTATGCACTGATCCAGCTCTAGAGAGGGAAACTTTCTTCTAACTGGGTAAGAAAAGGATGAGGTATAGGTCTCCCAACTTCCTTACTCATCTAAGGGGTCTCCTGTTACTTTGTGGAAATCAGAGGCTTGCCTAAAATATTAAAAGCTGTAATGGACAGGTTACCAGTAATGCATGAGCAGTATTTATTATGTGTTTCATGTCCATCAGTTCACTGCTTCCTTGATTTTCTGTAATGGACTTTTCTCTGGGGATGGTGAGTCCTTCTTACAGAAGGAATAAACCACAAGATGGGGCCATTGCAAAGCTGCTGAGGTACGTGGCTGCAGAGGGAGGGAGTCTGATCATATGGCTTCCTGTCTTCTGATGGAGCTTGGAGAGACCAGCCACTCTCTTGAAGATGGTCATTAGTGATACAGAACAGCCATGTCATCTCCTTGGACTTCGTGAACTCAGAGTGATGTGTGGACATTCCTGGCACTGCCGGTCCTTGAGTCCATCCTTGCATGGGCATGGGATGTCATGGTGATGCTTTCAAGTACCCTTTAATTTAATGGCACTAGTGGCCAAACTCTATGGCTTTTCTCCTCATTGCCCCCAAATTTAGGGCTATAGTGGCTGCGAGTGGGAGAGACACTGATGGACTATGAGAAATCTCATAACATAGGCAGAATCTAAGGGTGAAGAATTTAAGTGTAAAAAAACAAAAAAGCATAAACCACCCTAACTCTCCAAATGCATTTTGCATCTGATTTTATAGAAGAACAGATGTTTTTAAAGTAGCCTTTCCAGCACTGTGCCTGGCCCGTGGGGAGGTGATCAACAAATGAAAGATTGAATGAAGGATTAAATGAATGTCAGGAGGTAGTGGTCAGAGGGACAGTTTTTTTTGCCGCCTCCACTAAGTGCCACATGGAGGAATTGGCAATGTGCTACTTTGTGTTAAATTGAATAAATTATAGGAAAGAAAGTGAATGCTTGTATTTTGCCACATTAGCACCTGAATTTATATGTCAGTGGCTTTTCTTCTTTTCCTTCTGGAGGAACTACATTTATATTTTTCTTATAATTAAAAAGGTATGCAATAATTTTAGCAACTTGAGGAAATACAGATATGTGAAAAGTAGAAAATAAAAATGACTCTCAATCCTACTACCCAGTCATAACCACTGTTAATGTTTTGTGTATGTTCTTTAGACCTTCCCATGCAAATATATGAAAATGGATATAATATGTATATTTATAAAAATATAATATTCTACTCTACACATGCTATTTTATGCCTGTTTTTCCCCCAACTGTGTGTGTCCATATATATATATATATAAATCTAGATCATTAAACATATATTAATAATATTCCATTATATAGATGTACCATAATTTATAGACCTAATTTTAGCTTAACTAGTTATTATTTAAGTAAAAGACGATTACAGAAAGAGTTTCAAGTAATGGGGTTATTTGGTCATTTAGAAGATGACAATGATTATTAAATAATAAATTGCTTAAAGGATGAATTGTGTTCATGGAAGTACAGTTACCTTCAGTCCCTATCCAGGTAATAGACGTTTGTTGAACATCTAAGTTTCTTTCTTTTCTTCCCTCCCTCCCTCCTTTCTTTGTCTATTAAAAATAATGCTGTAATGAACATTCCTGGGCTCTTATTTGATTATTGCCTTAGGTTAAGTTTTCAAGTCAAAGCTGCATTTTCCTGACGCTTTAATACAGATTACTATTATTACTCCCTGGAAATGGAGCCCCGGTGCCTCTGCTGTCCTCAGTCCCTCCCGACAGTACTGTTGGGATGAGTACTTTTAATATTTTTTGTATCTTTATTGCCTAGTTATTTTTCTTCTTGTGTTAATTACTTCCTCATTTCCTTTGGCCCATTTTCCAATTTTTATTGAGGTTTTCAGCTCTTTTTCTTATAGATTGCTATGAAAGTTTCCTATATTGTATATTAGTTTGGGAATACCTGGTAGCTTTACAATATTGAGTTTTTCTGGCCAGAAACACATTATCATTTTCTGCTGATTCATCTTCCCCTTCTTCTGCCCTTGCAAAGCTATGTGGTTTTCTTTATAAATGTCCTGTACACTTCTGGTTTAGTTACTTCTCAGAATCACATTTTCTGTGCTACTTATGAATAGATTTTTTCCTTTTATTTTCTAAGTTGTTACTACTGAATTTTGGAAAGTTCCTGATCTTGTAATTGGCCATTCTGCCGGGATTTAATTAGATTACATTAAATTCATAGGTTAACTCTTGGAGGTGTGTATTTTGTGTAGGTAGGTTGTTCACATCTCCAAAACATTGCTTTTTCTTTAACCTTTATTTTGGTTGGTGAATTGGTTGAGACATTTGACTTGGGGCCATGAAGACAATTTAAAGGCCTAGGCATTTGCTATTTAGGAACAAAACAGAGAGCCAAAGTAGAGAGACAAACAAACCAGTAAAACCAACAACCTCGGTTTTCAGAATTCTGTTGTAAGTGGCAGGAGGGCTAAGCCAAACCTACGTAAGCAAAAAGGGAAGTATTGTACATAAAAACTGGAAAGCCCCAGGGAGACCTGGCTTCAGGTACGCCCCTGACTGAGACACTGGTGACTGTGACTTGAGCGCTCAGACGCTTTTATCTTGAAGTGCCCTTTGGCTGTTTCCTCTGGGTTGGTTCCAGTCTCAGGCAGGCTCTCCCTAATGGCCACAAGGTGGCTGCCAGTGCCCCCTACAGTTGTGTCTTTGCAGGTTAAAATCCAGCAGTAGACGTCTTTTACTAGAGCTCTCAGCAAAGGACTTGAGACTTTGTGAATCCAGCGTGTGCCTAACCCAAAGGCTGGTCACAGGCCCCTCTCAGGAACCCTGAGGGTGGAGACATTTTCTTAGCTTGTGTGCTGAGAAGGAAGTGTTTGTCCCTCCAGGCAGTGGTTCAAGTGTGATACTGGACCATCAGAATCAGCATCAACTGAGAACTTACTAGAAATGCAAACCTTGGGTCCCACCTACTGAATTAGAACCTCTGGGGTATGGGCCCATTGATTTGTGTTTTAGTAGGCCCCCCTGGTGGTTCTGATTCAGCTTACATTTGAGAATCATCCCTTTAAATGCAAATAAGGTTATTGTTGCCTTAAGGAGGAGAGTGCTTGCTCCACCAGGTTAACACTGAAAATAATGATGAAGTAGGTATTTGAATTGGAAAAAAAGTGACTATACAAAGACAGAGAAGCACTTGTATCAGATTCTTCCTTTAAGGAGTATATTAGTTAAAAATCACTATTGCCATCTTTTTGAATGAGGAAGTAATGTCACTGCATCAATCTCTTATATTTAAATGTCAAATTCTCTTAAAAGGGTTGGTGCTAATAATACTTGGTGAAATAGTTGCTGTCCGTTATTGATGCATACTGTACAATAGGAACTTCCTCTACAGCTTTTCCCTTCCTCCTGATAGCTGGGTGTTCAGACAAGGAAATGGTGATTCCAAGAGGTTAAGTGACTTGCTGATGGTAGAACCATCTTGAAAATCAGATCTGATTTTAAAGTCTG